GTAGCTAAAATTGAGCAGGGAGGGAGCAGCGAGAATTCAGGCGACGATGGGAAAATTTTCACGAAGTGAAAAATGAGTCGCCCCCTGGGTCCGAAGGACGACAGACATAAAAAAATCGCCCTTTACAAATATGGAATCTATATGTTTTGAAATATATAGGTGCGTTTAAATTTTAAAAACCGTCTTTAGAAAATCATGTGTTAACAAGCATCAGTTTCGAGAGGGCTCGGCAGAAGCGCAAATTTTAGAAGCGTAGCAAATTGAGCAGGGAGGGAGCCCTGAGAATCTTGTGGCGACGATGGGGAAATTTTTCACGAAGTGAAATTGAGTCGCCCCGCAGATTCGATGAATATTCGAAGAATATTCGAGAATAACAGAGGCTTAAGAATGCTCTTCAAAACCGTCTTTAATAATCAAGTGTTAATAATCGTGTTATTAAAATATCAGTATCAGCGCTTTATAGTCTACGTGGTATATTTGGTAAACTAGTGGCTTTTAATGATGGTCTTAAAACCCAGCGTGGTAGAAATATTCTTTAATAATCAAGTGTTATTAAAATATGGAATCTATATGTTTTTTTAATTTGTCTGTCAAGCAAGTGTCATATAATTTTTGTTAAAAGTGTTTTTACTAATTGTTTCAGGATTTTGAATTCTTTTGTATATCGCTTTTGTATTAATTACTTATTACAAACAGTTATGTGATATGTAGTCAAACATGAGGAGCAGGTATGTATGATTTTACTCTAACAGAGGCCCACGCTACATGCTTACTACACATTATAACTGTATATTAAAATAAGTTTTAATTATCATTTAAATAATGGCCATAAGCTCTAGTAGTTATACCATCATCTAATATGTACCGTTTATCATCAAAACAGCTAAGTGATACTTTATTAATTTCATAACTACTAAGTTGATGGTTTACACTTCTAATAGTTTTCATTGTATGATGCATTTGTTTGTTTTCAAATAGTGTTGTTTTATAGTCTTCATGTTTTATTTCACTCTTAATAATATTTTTCTTAATTCCTTTAGCTTTTTTATCTCCTTTATTATTATCTTTAATATAACTATACATCTTACTTCTTAAACCAACAAATTCTTTAACTACTATTCCAGCAGCTTCATCTTTCATTTTACCAATAACTTTTTTTATTAGTTTTATCATGATATTTATGGTATTCCGGGTAATCACTAAAATCAAATTTATCTTTATCAACCCAAAAATCTTTATAGACATCTTCAGTTTCGATTTCATATGTTAAACTATCTGTGTCTGTGAAAAGAAGTTTAGCTTTATCACCATACCGCTTCTTGATATAGTTGTAATGAAAATCATACATCAACGTTTTACTTAAATCTAAGATGCACATACCCACATATGCCGGCCTATTAAGGGTTAGTGTTTCTTTGATCTTATGCACAGCCACAAGGTTCTCATTGAAGATTTTACTACTTACATAAGTAGGTTTTGAAGCTAATTTTAATAATTTATCTTTATTAGTTACTAGTCTAACATCTACTCTTTTACGTAAATTTTCCATCGTCTTACCAAATACCGAATTATTCATTAATTTGAAGAAGTCTTTTTCAAAAGAATTTTTTGCATTAGTTCTTTTTTGAGTATTAAAGTCTATGTATTTTTTCAACCATGGGGATTGATTAAATTTAAGTACTCGGTGGACTTTAGTTAACTTTAAACCAAGATCTAGGTATTATTGAAGATTTCTATAACGTAGCACATACTTGTATTTATTTTGTAAGGTAGGTATTAACTTATTAACTAAACCTGTTGATATATTGTAATTAGAAGCAATTGTCTTACAATATTTTGACAGCATTTCACTAGTTACCTTAACTTTTTCTGGTGCAACAGGATAATCGTTATGTAGGTTATGGAGTTTTTCAGGGTATTCTAAATCAACCTCAAGTATTAGACCTTCTTTACTATCTTCTTGATATTTAGCAAGGTTTATGTTGTTAATCTGTTTCTCAGTTAACCATTTGAAACCACCAGTAGGTAGGTATTGTGACATAGCCCATCCATATAAATTGTTTGCGTCAAGATACATTATATATTTTGAGGGTTTATTCTTATCAAATGTTTTCATATATTTGTTATTTGCCTTACCATATCGGTTAGAAATATAAGAAACACCTCCTCTCATACCCTTTTCAATGAATTGAAACATGTCAATATCAGTCATTAGTTCTAATTTAATATCTGTCATCTTCAGCATAGCATCCCAAGACAACCCGGGTGATGTAAAATAATGACATGGGTCTAAGTTATAGTATTCAAGACATGTTTTTCGAAAGTTTTCAAATACATCAGCTAATAACAAAACGTCTGATTTTAGATACAAATCGTGTAATCACCCATGTTTTGAGATTGAATGTATTCCAAACATTTTGTGCATGATTATAAGAATCATCTGATATATTTCATCAGTAAGAATACTATAAAAGTCTTTTTTTGAAGGTAACCCCTCATCAAACTTTTCAAAACTATCCATATAATCATATGGGTATATACCTTTTTTTCTCATTAAATTAAGTTTTTCACCTTTAAACTGATTATAGGTGTATTTAAATGATTCTTTAGGTAAATTACTAACAAGCTTTTCAAGACTAGAGCTCATAAATTGAAAACTATCAAGAAATGTTAAATGGTTACCTAACATGAAAGCCATATATTTTTCCATGTTATTAGGTATAGCATTTATATTCATATGCGTTTCCTCACCTTTTTTGTTTTTGTATGTATGCTTATTAACAATAGCTCCGATCTCTTGCATAATAAAGTGGCTATCGTATCCCCGCAGATTGTGAAATATTACTGGGATCTTTAATTTATCAGAGTCTATTCTAAGTTTTAAATTACAATCTTGATGTGATGAGCCTCTGTATATACCAGTGATATGACAATGGTCTCGAACTCGAATATCTTTGTTAGTATATTTTTTGTTACAGATATGACATTCATCAGCTTTTTTAAATTCTTCTTCATCATCAGTGGTCATTTTTAATGGTTTATTAAATTGAGTTTTCATAATATTTTTACAATATTTAACTTCTTTTAACATAGCTTCCATAAATTTGTAAACAGCCTTTTCACCTCTATATAGTTGAATTGGTTTGTGAATTTATCATCATAACAACAAACAACTTTATATCCATAACCACAGTCAGTATGTTTCTGATAGGCTTCTGTATATGATTTTTTATTATTTTGGTTACAACCAGATATCTTTTCTGTAATAGCCTCAAAGTCAGCATATATGACAAATGGTACTGATTGTTGCTTATGATAGTTGTTGAATTTCAGTATGTTATTATTTTTATCAGGCATTCTTATTGATTGTATACCATTTATTAATATACAGTTTTCTATATGGTTATTTAATATTTTTTCAGAACTAAAACATTGAAGGCATCTCATACAAAAATGTTTTCTTTCTTTATGTTTAGTTTGATTGTACATAAATTTATTAAAATCTTTTATTAATACATAATGTTTGTTTTCATTATGAGTTATTAATAGTAGTTCCATATGGTCTTCAACTTTTTCTTTTGAAATGAATAATGGATATGGTTGTTTATCTTCATAACCGAAAACGTTAATGTTAATTCTGTTTTGCTTTTCGATTTTATTATAATGTTTAACAGTCACTGGAAATTCAATCTCAGAGTAGTCTAATTTGTTAATATATTCCTTATCAGATTTTTTAATTCTCTGTGGATATTTATTTTGTGGGTTAATATGTCTAATATGACACCATCTAAAGCATTCATTGTCTCTATTTTTGATATTAATTAATCCTTTTTTAGAATTTTTAAGTTCTTGGGGTAAATTAATGTATGAACTCCCTTTAAGTGGTTTATATTGTACAACATTAAGATAATGGTTATCTATAGAACGAATAAGCCATGCAGAACCTTCTTGTGTAAATTTTTCAATCTTATCTAATATATTTTGTTTTGAAATTTGTAAGGATTCATTGATTTCATTACAATTAGTAATTGTTAAAGCTGGACTGTTGAAATAAGCAATTGTTGTTAAATAACCAGCAGTGCCGCCATCCTTTATTTCAAATTTTTCAAATGTTATTTTAAGAGTTTCAATATATTTAAGTGCTTTCATTGATGTTAATATTTCTTTAATATAATATTTAAGATACTTTCTAGTGCTCTGTAATTGTTTCAATGGATCTTTATTGTTAATAATGCTTATTTCATATGACTTTGTATAACCTTTAAGAGCATTGTTTGTTTCTCTTATTTTAACTCTTGGTGTTGGTATTGGTTTTTTATTTTTATCTGATAACATATGTGTATTGTTCTCATACTCTTTAACCATCTCTTTTACAGTCTTTCTCGGTTTTGGGACTGGGGTTAATACTTTGATTAATTCGTTTTTTCTAAGTTTATAATAACCTTTAACTTTTTTTTCTTTAGCAATAACTTTTAACTGAGGTACAGTCATTTG